TCTTTCCTCCATCCACATCTTGAGTGGACGATAGTGCCGAGTTGTGTGGCCTTATAGCTATTACTGCATCAACCTGTTTCATGAACGTGAGCCTGCGGTCGTGTGTGACTCCCAGGAGTCTTCGTTGAGCTCAAGCTATTGTCGAATTAGTGATTGTGATGTATGTTGTTATACGAAACAGCTGTATTCGATCACACGCAGTTCACAAACCGTACATTGAAAGTAGAAACTCAAAGATGGAACACTATGAGTATATTGATAGCCTGCGTTCATTCGTTGAAATAAAACTGTGTAAAATTGCCGTGGTATGTAACCCCGCGCGTGGAGTGAGTGACCGATAAGTTCGATACCTGCCCAGTTGTAATTATTCGATACTAACCCTAACCCATGAGAGTTTTTCGATACCTCCCTGCCCGTTCGTTATTCGATAGGTAATTTTTTGATACCTCACTTGCCCGGTGTGTTCAATACCTGCCCCTTTGAAATTATTCGATACTTACCCAAACTCCTGCCACCTGTTATTCGATACCTCCCTTGCCAGGTCACTACTCGATACCTCCCTGCCCATTCATTATTCCCTTGCCGAGTATGCTCGACACCTGCCCATACCTCCCTTGACCGGTGTTTTCGATACCTACGTAGCTGTAATTATTGGATTCCGACCCTAACCCATTAGAGATTCGATACCCCTTACCAGGTCACTACTCGATACCTCCAATGCGTTTATTATTCGATACCTATCTGCCCATTCATTACTCGATACCTCGCTGCCTGATCATTATTCGATACCTACCTGCCCATTTATTATTCGATACCTCCCTGCTTGTTCATCATTCGATACCTACCTGCCCATTTGAGATTCGATACCTCATTTGCCAGGTCATTACTCGATACCTCCAAAGCGTTCATTATTCGATACCTCCCTGTCTGTTCACTATTCCATACCTACCAGCTTGTTCATTATTCGATACCTACCTGCACTTTCATCATTCGATACCTCCCTTGCACGGTGTGTTCGATACCTGCGCAGCTATAATTATTCGATTCTGACCCTAACCTTCGTAATTCGATACCTCACTGCCTGTTCATTATTCGATACCTCCCTGCCTGTTCACTATTCCATACCTACCTGCCTTTTACCGGTGTGTTCGATACCTACGTAGCTGTAATTATTGGATTCTGACCCTAAACCATTAGAGATTCGATACCTCACTTGCCAGGTCACTACTCGATACCTCCAATGTGTTCGTAATTCGATACCCCCATGCCTGTTCATTATTCGATACCTCCCTGTCTGTCCATTATTCGATACCTCCCTGCCTGTTCAATATTCGATACTCCCTGCCTTTTCACTATTCGATACCTACCTGCTCGTTCATTATTCGATACCTCCCTGTCCTTTCATTATTCGATACCTATCTGCCCTCCGTGTAAGGTTATTTTTCGATACCTCCCTTGACCGGTGTTTTCGATACCTACGTAGCTGTAATTATTGGATTCTGACCCTATACCATTAGAGATTAGATACCCCTTGCCAGGTCACCACTCGATACCTCCAATGCGTTCATTATTCGATACCTATCTGCCCATTCATTATTCGATACCTCGCTGCCTGATCATTATTCGATACCTACCTGCCTATTTATTATTCGATACCTCCCTGCCCTTTCATTATTCGATACCTACCTGCCCATTTGAGATTCGATACCTCATTTGCCAAGTCATTACTCGATACCTCCAAAGCGTTCATTATTCGATACCTCCCTGTCTGTTCACTATTCGATACCTACCAGTCTGTTCATTATTCGATACCTCCCTGCCCTTTCATTATTCGATACCTATCTGCCCTCCGTGTAAGGTTTTTTTTCAATACCTCCCTTGACCGGTGTTTTCGATACCTACGTAGCTGTAATTATTGGATTCTGACCTTATACCATTAGAGATTAGATACCCCTTGCCAGGTCACTACTCGATACCTCCAATGCGTTCATTATTCGATACCTATCTGCCCATTCATTATTCGATACCTCGCTGCCTGATCATTATTCGATACCTACCTGCTCATTTATTATTCGATACCTCCCTGCCTGTTCATCATTCGATACCTATCTGCCCATTTGAGATTCGATACATTTGCCAAGTCACTACTCGATACCTCCAAAGCGTTCATTATTCGATACCTCCCTGTCTGTTCACTATTCGATACCTACCAGCCTGTTCATTATTCGATACCTACCTGCACTTTCATTATTCGATACCTACCTGCACTTTCATCATTCGATACCTCCCTTGCACGGTGTGTTCGATACCTGCACAGCTATAATTATTCGATTCTGACCCTAACCTTCGTAATTCGATACCTCACTGCCTGTTCATTGTTCGATACCTCCCTGCCTGTTCACTATTCCATACCTACCTGCCTTTTACCGGTGTGTTCGATACCTACGTAGCTGACCCTAACCCATTAGAGATTCGATACCTCCCTTGCCAGGTCACTACTCGATACCTCCAGTGCGTTCGTAATTCGATACCCCCATGCCTGTTCATTATTCGATACCCCCATGCCTGTTCATTATTCGATACCTCCCTGCCTGTTCAATATACGATACCTCCCATGCCCGATGTGTCCGATATCTCTCTTGCCCGCATATTGTTCGATACCTCCTTGCCCGTTCATTATTCGATACCTCCTGTGGATGATAATTTTTCGATACTTCTTTTGCATTTTATATTTGATACCTGCCCAGTTGAAATTATTCGATACCAACCATAACCCACTAGTTATTCGATTTTGCCCTTGACCCGTAGGTTTGATACTTGCCCAGTTGTAATTTTTCGATACTTTTTTGTCAGCTAATATTTGATGCAAACTTGCAAAGTCTATAATCGATATCTTCCTTCCGTAAGTCATTATTCAATATATACTACTCTCCTGCATTATCTTGTGATTATTTATTGTTAAACCTCGACACTTCTTTAACTTTAATAACTAATCAATACCAATTTGAAACAATCAACGTTATTGTATTTCGATATTTGGTTGATATTTGTACATTAATACTTTTGAATCATTACTCAATTTAATGAACAAGCAGGATGCCGCCATAGTGGCGAGCGAGCACAAGACGTGAAATGAAGTGAAGTGACAAGGGACCACCCAACATGTCATATTCATATACCATGTATCTTGATTCATTTATATAGTCTGTGTTCTAACAATTATATTGTATAATGGTTTTGCTTAGAATATTTTCTATCTGTCATTTTGTTCATTTTGAAAAATTTGCTTTCTATGGGCTTACTAAGGTTTGAAACATTTCCTAATATTCCGACATTTAAACGTTTTGCTAGATTTGTCTTTCACTTATTACAGCTGCTTTTCTGTTTTTCTGTTTACTTTAGTTTAACAAAACTTTTAAGGTAATTGTTTCCCTTACTCAAGCAATTATTTCGAGTTGCTGTTACCTGCTTCATAAAAGAGGACTCCTCTAATATTGTGATTGAGTGTTCTACCTTCAAAATCAACTGTGTTTTATTGTGTTTTATTTCTTTTAAGTCTTAAACATTTTTCTTGTGAGGTGATGTTGTGTTAAAAAAAACAACTATTAGGCCAAACGGTCGGTTAATGAGATCGTGGAGCAAGGGTTGGAGATGAAGGGAAATGACTGAGGAAATGGATTTTGAGAGAATACTTTACACAAAGATTTATGGAACCTGAATCCTTTATCCAAGTATTCCATTTATTATTACGTGTGAACTCCCCGTCTTTCCTGCCTATTCTCAGCTTATTTCTCTGTCTGTCTGTCTGTCAGTCTGTCTGTCTGTCTGTCTGTCTGTCTGTCTCTCTCTCTCTCTCTCTCTCTCTCTCTCTCTCTCTCTCTCTCTCTCTCTCTCTCTCTCTCTCTCTCTCTCTCTCTCTCTCTCTCTCTCTCTCTGTGTGTGTGTGTGTCTATGTGTGAGTGTGTGTGTGTGTGTGTGTGTGTGTGTGTGTGTGTGTGTGTGTGTGTGTGTGTGTGTGTGTGTGTGTTTGTCTCTCTCTTTCTCTGTCTCTCGGTGTGTTTGTCTCTCTCTTTCTCTGTCTCTCGGAAGCACCATCGGGTGCTCTCGTGATCTAGAGGTTCAATGTTCGCCTCTCATTCAATAGGTCCTGGTTTCGAAACCTGGCCGCGATGGAAAATTTTCATCTCTAAATGTGTCTCCTTTCACCTCCTTTCCACATCTAACCACGTTCTGTCGTCTGCCTTCGTCTCTACTTTCTGCTCCCACCCCGACCCCCTTTGCCCCCTCCTCTGGGCCCCTAACTGTTTCTACAGCCTTTCTACTGCTACTCATTGGCCCCTTCTTACTGCTGTTTTTCAGGCACACACCTGATCTTAGGGTAGTTGAGATCTAACAGCTTATATGACATTATGCAGTTGCGAGAGCAGTTAACATTTGCGAAAAAAAAAAGAAAAAAAAGAAAAAAGCAGACCAAAAAAACCCAGACAAAACACAAACAAAAAACAAATAAACGACACTAGCCTTTTTTATCCCAGCCTTTTGGTCTCATTTTATCTCCAGTTGTGCTAGCCAATCTTTTTCTTTCGAGAGGAAAGTCCCCCACCGTGATAATTTTTACAACAATTTCTTGGTCCTTTCTTTACTAATGGTGAATTATAGACGACGCCGGCGGAGTTTATTTCCTGGAACCACTTCCTATGCTAAATCGTATAACTGGCATACATAGCTGGTTGGGCCAGGACACTTTTCCCCCAGCTGCAGGTGTCCGTTTTGGAAAATCTCAATTTAAACATATTATTTCTGTAGGCCTACGTTGTATTTTGTTCAAACTTTATTCAATTGGGGACACGTACCATGCCATATACTATCCATTAAGCAAATAAAACAAAAATTTGAAATTTTGCATGTAGCCGGTTTGGGAAAATACCCAGGATATTATTATTATATCATGCGTGTAGCCTAACAATGATATAATACATGTGACTTCTTATCACGCTCAGTTGTATAAGAGCGACCTGCCGAGCAAACAACGCATGGACTACTTACAGCTGGAGTTTGAGTGTTGTGGCGTGACGTCATACGAAGACTGGTTCACCACGGCCTGGGTCAATCTGGCATACGTGAACGTGCACGACGACCAGGTCAAGATGTGAGTGTTGCTTGCACACGGTAAAAGTAAAGTATAGCCCCCCCCCCCCTCCTCCCACCTTTTTTTCACTTAAAAAAAAACTAAATAACTTAGTGCGCAACATCTGGGGTCACACGGGCCTGAAGGGGGGACGACACGAAGGACTGCAGTTGTGTCTTTGGGGAATAGGAAACACAGCAAACTCTGGATCACCGCGGTACGAGAAGATATTGGGGTCACAACCAATTCCATCATGGTGTTTTCTTACTTTACTCCAACTTTTTCATCCTCTGTTGCCGTTAAGCGTTGAGGAGAGATGCAGTTTTCTATGGTAGGCCATCTCCCGCAGCTCTTTCAGTTGGGAAATTATGATTTTTCAGGGTTTCCTTGACACTGTCAATCCACCTTTGTCGTGGCCTTCTTCTTCCTTTATAGTCTGAGTGCTTGGTGTTACAGGCTCTTGAGGCTGGCTGGCTAGGTGACATAATCTGTATTCGTGTTTATGTTTGCTTATAATCTGTTAAAGGTTTTTAATGCGACCTCGCACAAAACGAGACGGTTCGTGTAATTGTTGGGGAAACTGCAAGGCAGACGCGAAGGCGGGAGACTAAAGAAGACTTTTCGCTGGTGTGCTTCAAAAGAAGACATCATCATATTCTGTGTTTTGTAAGCTAAGGTTTCTAAACCGGCTTCTGTGATGTGATGGTTAGATTCTTCGTGAAAATGGTGAAATGGTATAGGTTGAACGCCACTATCAACACTTTTAGGTTATTTAAGAGGCGGGACCATCGAGTTTATTGTCCATCTCCGAAAGGACCAAACCAGGTGGGAAATTCGTATAAAGTGCCTTTCCCAAGGACACAACGTCGGACCGAGCTGAGGTTCGAATCCACGAACCCACAATTTCACGATTACGGGTCCGGTAGCCTAACCACTAGGCCACCGACGCCACTTGACTCTTCGTTATGACACGCAAAACGTGACTGACTAAGAAGGGCCAATGGTTGGGGTTTTTTTCTTCTTTTTATTTTTTAGGGGAGGGGGTCAAGGGTGGTCGTTTGTTGTTTTTTTAATTTTTTTATTTTGTTTGGTATTTCTAAATCTGTCTGCTGGGATAATGACGTGTCCTAATATTCAGCCCGAGTTGAACAAGGCAAGTACAGTTGAAACATTCAGCCTCCTTGATAATCTAAATTGTGTTAATATTTTGAGGCTCAAAATATCCACAAACGACAGTCTAATCTGCTTTAACAGCTATATCTGTCAAAGAGTTGAGACAGTCACCTGTTCAAACGACCACTTCCCAGTTTTCATCTTGTGTTCTTTTTAAAAATATTATTATAATGACACTGTGCAATAAGTCAACCTGTCTAAGACAATAACTTTTCTTTTCGTCAATGGGTGGCCGTCTTGGACAATTCCGATCGTACAAGGTTTCTAAAAGATGGAGAATTCATCAAGGACGATGCCCCGTTCAGTTGCTGCAGCCGACACGCCAAACGCGCATGCGTACACCACTCCGTCCGCGACGCCACTGTGCATGCAAAGTACGATGACGTCACGCTGAACACTGTCGGATGTGTGGATGCCGTTACAGAACACTTCCAGGCCACCATGTTGGTCCCAACTGCCTTGCTGCTGCTAGTGATTCTGCTGTTACAGGTGACGATATTTTTACACCTATCCGATTACCGGCATCTGTGCTGTAGCAGTTAAGCACTTCGCTGTCGCATGCTGGAGACCCGAATCCGATTCCCGAGTGGGGAGAATTACCCCCACGGGTCCACTGAGACAGACACGACTTGATCTTTTGTCGGGAGGAAGAAAATCGGTCTGGTCGTTTCCGTCTTGTGTGTCCACCAGTTCGGACAAGACACGTCTAGTCTGTTGGCCTACTTGCCGTATTATTCCACACACTGGGTCCGAAGGCTGTGTTCTCGGTACAGGGCTATATATATAATGTAGATCAATGAACCCAAGGCGGGAATAAGAAATGAATCGGGGGGAATTGGTAAAATTGTTAATATGCATTTAAACCAGGTGGTTTGTGCGTTGACTTTGCTTATTTTGAGGCGCTGGTTACGAATATGACATTAGAATTTTAATCCAAACTCAAAATTAGAATTTGTTTAGCTCGGGCGCGGCCTATGGTTCATGAGTCAACACCCGGCCCGGGTAAAATTGAGCAAGCAGCTTTCCAACCGACACGTCTTTTGTCGGGGCGTGTCGTGTCGGGTCTGTTGACACAGCCAAACGCACTTTCCACTGATTTCTTAGGAAATAAACGGTGCTCCGTTTCAACTACTGACTTTCCGAGAGACGCAGTGGACTTGGGCCCTTATTTTATCGAGAGTCTCTCTGTCTTTCTGCTGGGATGTTGTATCCGTCTCAGCCCGGGTTGGCTGTCTCATACATGGTCTAAATCATGTCGATGTTAGTGTAAAAGTACCATTAAAAAAAAGAAACTATCACATGTTGTTGAAAGAACATAACGATGACCGCAACCCTGGAAAGATGTACATTGGTCACATCTAGGTCAGATTGACTCTTGTCGATTTCTTTTTTTTTTCGTGGGAAAAAAAGTGGGGGGGGGGGTGTCCTAGATTGACCACCTTATGAATTATCTAAATTGCATTGGTGTGTGCAATTAACATCCACATGTATGTATTTTTTTCATACGAAGCTGTTCACCCCCAGCCTTTTTTAAATCATTACTTTTTTTTCTATTAGATAGCTGACGTGGCACTGATGAGACTGCTGCAAACGTCTATCCTGAATGCCGAGGAGATGAACGACCTGGAGGGAGACGGCTTGGCCTACTGCATCAAGGGCTGGGGCGGGAAAGGCGGGAACGTCAAGGACTACTTCAAGAGAAAGCGCTCAGGCGAAGGTGACTGGGTGCTCTGGTGTGGTTTGCTCCTTATGTCTCCTCCTCCTCTTCCTTTACTTAGAATGTTACACTCTTGCTGTAACTCTACCTCTAATCTTCGGCACTTATATGACCTAATTGTGTTGCAACTGCCGTAAAACCTCTTACTGAAATCACCCTCCCCCCTTTCCTCTTCCTCCACTTCCTCCTCCACCTTCTCTTCCGACAGACAGACAGACAGACAGACAGACAGACAGACAGACAGACAGACAGACAGACAGGCAGGCAGGCAGGCAGGCAGGCAGGCAGGCAGGCAGACAGACAGACAGACAGAAAGACAGACAGACAGACAGACAGACAGACAGACAGACAGACAGACAGACAGACAGACAGACAGACAGACAGACAGAGTCAGAGACGGATACAGAGACAGAGACAGAGGGAAGGAGAGGGAGAGGGGGGGGGGGAGAAAAAGAGAGAGAAAGAGACAGAGAGAGAGGAGGGGGGGGAGAGAGAGAGAGAGAGAGAGAGAGAGAGAGAGAGAGAGAGAGAGAAAGAGAGAGAGAGAGAGAGAGAGAGAGAGAGAGGGGGGGGGGGGAAACAAACTATCTCATCATAAAAGAACGCGTTATAATATAACGTTCATGTCTATTCGTTTTCTTTTCCCTCCAAAATAGATCTTGCGGAGTCGGGCGAGGTGGATATCGACGACCCCAATGATGATGGTGATGAGGTGAGTGATGACTACGACGAAGAAGACGAAGAGGAAGACGACGAGGATGAAGATGAAAAAGACTTTTCCGGGAGGAGAAAGAAGAAGGAACAGCGCCCACAACGTCAAATGGGAAGACGCGGAGGGCAAAAGAGGAAACCTGACGTTGGTGATGAAGAAAGTGATGAAAGTGACGATGATAGCGATGATGATTATAGCAGTAGTAGTAGTAGTAGCAGTAGCAGTAGCAGTAGCAGTAGTGAGTACGCTTATCGTCCTCCTTACAGAGAGACGAAGAAGAAAGTGAAGAGGAAAGGAGTCGTTAAACAACGCCATGAGCAAGACAGCAGCAGTAGTAGTAGCAGCAGTAGCAGCAGCAGTACCACCACCACCACCAGCAGCAGCAGCAGTAACGGTTATGGTTATGGGGGAAGAGGTGGTCAGAAGAAAATGATGAAGAGAGAGAACAAGAAAAGCGATAATAAAGAAGATAGCGACGATGACGGCGATGGAAGAAAAGGGGACAAAAAGAAAAGGAAAAAAGAAGATAAGGAAAATAAAGAAGATGAAAGGGGGGAGGGTGGTAAAAAGGCTCAGAAAGATAAAAAGAATAAGAGCAAAGACGATGACGACGATGATGCAAATGGGAAGAAAAAGAAAAAGTCAGATGATAAGAAGAAAGGTAAGGGAAATGATGATCATGATGAAGCAACAAAGAAAAGAAAGAAGGAAGGAACAACAGGAAAGAAGGAGGGAACAGAAGGAAAGAAGGAGGGAAAAGAAGGAAAGAAGGAGGGAAAAGATGGAAAGAAAGAGGGAAAAGAGGGAAAGAAGGAGGGAAAAGATGGAAAGAAAGACGTAAAGGCGGGGAAAAAAGGAAAAGAAAGAAGTAACGACGGAAAAGAGGTAAAGAAGAAGGGAAAAGATGAACAGAAAGACGGGAAAACGGGAAAGAAAAAGGGGAAAGGAGGAAAGAAAGACGGAACCAAGAAAAACAAATCGAAACTTGGTGAAAAAAGTGGTAAAAAAGAAGGGGTGAAAAAGAAAGGAGGGACATCGGGGAAAGTAAAAGGGGGAAAAGGGACAAAGAAGACAACGACGAAAAAGTCAAAACCGGCGGCGAAAAGTAAGTCGAAAGCGGCGAAAAGTAAATCGAAAGCGGCGAAAAGTAAGTCGAAACCAGCGAAAAGCAAGCCAAAACCGGCCAAACCAAAGAAAAAGGCAAAGCCAAAGAAGACCAAGAGCCCCAAAAAGTCCAAGCCAAAGAAGAAAAAGAAAAAGTAAATATTACGAGACAAATGATAAGTCAAAATCGGGTTTATTTTAAAGCAAAGTCTGGGTACAGAGAGGGGGGGGGGA